GCAGCTGGCGAGTCCGAACTGCGACATCGAGAATTTCGAAGAGAGCATGGCTTCGGGGCTAGTTGGCATGCTCCTCGACTGCTTCCGGGCCGGGGAGACTGCGCGTCCCCGGCCCCCACGGGCGCTTCAACCCGAGCTACTACTACAGTCGCCAGCAGGACTACGAGGGCCTTTGGACGACTCTAGGGGGCCACAAGCTGAGCTACGAGGGCCACGGGAACAGCTAGGAGAGCCCACCAGAAGAGCTTCAAGACCCACCTGCCGAGCTACGAGAGCCACTAGCAGAGCCACGAAAGCCACGAGCTGAGCCACGAGGACCGCGGGCTGAGCTACGGGTGCCACAAGCAGGCCTACGAGCCCCACCAGTTGTGGCGCCACGAGGGCCACCAGCTCAGATACGACGGCTACCAGCAGAGCAAAGAGGATTACCAGGTGGGCCTTTTGCAGAGCTGCCGAGGCGAGGAACTGACTTGTAAGGGCCAGACGCAGAACTCCGAGAGCCACCAGCTCAGCTACTGACGCCACCTGCGGAGCTACGAGGGCCACAACCTCAGCTGCGCGGGCCACAAGCAGAACTACGAGAACTACGAGAGCTGCGGGGACCACCTGTTGAGCCACTTGGCCAACAAGCTGAACAAGGACCGCCGCGAGCAGAGCCAACGGCGGAGGTACGAGGACCACCTGAGGAGCTACGAGGACTACAAGGTGAGCCACAGGAGCCACCAGCTCAGCTACGATGGGCACGAGCAGAGCTTCGAGAGCCATCGGCAGAGCCAAGAGTTCCACCCAGAAAGCTACGGGGGCCACAGCATGAGCCTCGAGGGCAACGAGCAGAGCTAGCACAGTCACCAGCAAAGCTATCAGGGCCACCAGCTGCCTTTCGAGGACCACAAGCTAAGCAACGAGGACAACTGGCACAGCTACGAGAGCCACCGGCAGTGCTACAAGGACCGCAGTCTGAGCTACAAGGGCCAAAAGCACGGCTACCATGACCAAGAGACGAGCCACGAGGACCACAAGCTACGGGCGCCACGAGCCGGATTACGAGGACCACCAGCTGAACCACAATGGCCATCTGTTGCACTACGAGGGCCGCCAGCTGAGCTGCGTCGACCACCAGCTGAGCTACCAGATGTATCAGGAGTGCTACGATGACAGCAGACAGAGCTAATTCGGCCACCTGAGCTGCGAAGACCGCAGGCACAGCTACGAGAGCTACGAAGGCCATCTGCTCAGCTGCGAGGGCCACAACCAGAGCCACGCGGAATATAGGAAGAACCACCAGAGCCTTCTGCAGAGCTACTAGGGAGACGAACTGATCTTGTAAGGACCAGAAACAAAACTCCGAGAGTCACCAGCTCAGGTACAGACGCCACCTGCGGAGCCACGAGAGCCACAACCTCAGCTACGCGGGCCACAAGCAGAACTACGAGAGCCTCCCGCAGAGCTACCAGGGCGACGAGCTGAACTGCAAGGGCCACGAGCAGACCTCCGAGGACCAGCTACGAGGACCACCTGTTGAGCCACCTGGTCAACAAGCTGAACAAGGACCGCCGCGAGCAGAGCCAACGGCGGAGGTTCGAAGACCACCTGAGGAGCGACGAGGGCAACCACCTGAGCAACGAGAACCACCAACAGAACTAGCCGCTGGATTTCAAGAACATGTCGAAGTTCTTGAACACGCAGGATTACGACAAGGGGTGCCAGCCCGAGCTGTCGCTTTGAAAGGCCAGAGGCGCCACAATGGCCTCGACGGTATTCTGTGCGCGTGGGACATCGCCACGGAGCGCTGGGCATTCATATCGGGATCGACTGCGATCAGCGCTAAGAGTAGCAGAGTAGTAGCGTCGAGCCCATCGACAAATACTCAAGAAACGACTCGCCGCCATGTGCGAGCAGATGGCTCGAGAATAGCAAGATCACGATCCGATGGGAACCTGGTCTACGTGTCCGAGCGCTTATACGACCTCGCAGCCTCTGAAGGCCAGGCAGGGGTGGCAAACTTCTTCCTCGACGCGCTCCACGACGAAAGCCTGTTCGACATAGTTTACGATCGGACGGCGCAGAATTCACGGTCAGACCAGCCTACTGAAAATCGCTGATTATTGTACTCCAGCAAACTATCTTCATTCCATGCCGATGGTAGTTGCGCTGCCGCGCTACGGTACAATATATTGCGTGCGCGTACCACATCTACAGCGCTACAGGCAAGGAAATGTTATCGCTAAGGTATTCCATTTGGGGCAAGTACATCTGCTGCAAGTGAGTTGGCCCGCCGGTCGGCCCCCCCATCCCCCCATCCCTCGGTGGCCTCAAGTGGTATTTTTTGATCGTTGGTGGCCTTCCCCTCCTCGCCCCCCTCCGGAAAAAGGTTCGGCCACCGCGCGGCCGCTGGCGCGCGCGCGCGCCCAGGGCCAGCGCGGCGGCTACTGGGAACCGCGCTCTTCGGCTTCGGAAAGAGAGGAGGAAGGAAGCAAATGAGGAGAGGGCGAAAAGGAGGCAGAGGAGGAGGAGGAGGACGAGGAGGAGGAGGAGGAGGAAAAGGAGGAGGAGGCAGGAGGAAAAAGGAACAAGGAACAAGGCGGAATGCATTGATAACATTGATGAGGTCTCCTCTCTCCTTCCCCGCGACGTCCTCGCCCTTCGCTTCCAGGTGTCTCCAGGGGTCCCCCAGGGTCTGTCGAAGCTTCAGCAGCGTGGAGAATTCGACACACATCGAAAATTCTTGACGCTTCGCGTAACCTTCTTAGTGCAGCCCCGCGCTTCGCCACGTGTGTGGCGGGCCGACCTCTGGCGCCTGCAGGCGACATGGTCCAATTCAGTCATCCTGGTGGTCACGCCCCTGGGGTACCCGCACGCTTGCAGCTTCCTGGCAGCCCCAGCAGCTTCAGCCTCCGCCCTCGGCGCTCGCTTCCCTCGGCGGTCGCACCCACTGCCCTCGGCGCGGCAGCTTCCCCTGGCGGTCGGTTCTGCTGATGCCTGCGCGCGCGTCAGGCAATTAATTCCGGTCGTAGCCCGAGCCGGCTCGAGACGCCGCTGGCGCCTTCGCCTGCGGTTGCGACAAAGAAGCTCCACCAGCCCATCCAGAAACGATGCCCAGAGGAATTGCCTCGATCAGGAAGTGGGCAGCACACAGAGGAAGGGTCCCCCAGTGGAGGTCTCTTGGAGCGTCTTGGGGGCCTCTTGGCGGTCCCGGACGCCTCTTAGAGCGTCTTGGGTGCCTCGGAGAGTTTCTTGGGGCCTCTTGGGGGTCTCTTGGGAGCCTCTTGGAGGCCTCTTGGGCGCCTGTTGGGGCCTCTTGGGGCCTCCTGGGCGCCTCTTGGGGCCCTTTTGAAGCGTTTTGGGGGGGGGGGAGCCTTGGAAGCGCTCTTGGAGCCCTCTTGGGCCATCTTGGAGCCATCTTGAGGCTTCGGATGGCCATCGGACGCGAAAAGGCGAGAAAGCCAAAAGCATTGATGTTCCTAAGGTTTTGGAAGGATGTTGGCCTCTTCGGGGCCCCTGGGGGAGCTCTTTGGCCACGTGGAGCGTCTTGGGGCGGTCTTGGGGCCTCTTGGAGCATCGTGGGAACCATCTTGAGGCATCTTGGTATACCTTGAGCCATCTTGGAGGTCATCTTGGACTCTCCCAGGCGCCCTGGGAGTCATCTTAAGCAGTGCCCCCCCCGAGGAGGCCAAAATGTGGCCAAAACCTTAGTAACATCAGTGATTTTGGCATTCTCACCGGGGCCTCTTGAAGCGTCTTGGGTGCCTCTGGGGGGCCTCTTGGGGCCTTTGGGGGGTCTCTTGGGAGCCTCTTGGGGGCATCCTGGGGGCCTCTTGGGCGCCTGTTGGGGCCTCCTGGCACCTCCTGGGGCCCTTTTGGGGCACCCTTGGGAGCCTTGGGATCGCCCGTGGGGCCATCTCGAAGGGGATCGATCAAAGAAGGGGGGTCTCAATTTGCGCTGCCCCCCAAAGAGGCCAAAATGGGGCCCAAACCCTAGTGGAACCAATGATTTTAGCTTCCTCGCCGAGGCCGTTTTGGACGCTCCGACCGCTCACGAAACGCCCCGTCCAGGTACGGAAAAGGCGGGGAGGGGGTAGGGGGAGGGATCAAGACCCCCTCCCCGCCCGCAAGCCTTCTCGCTCACTCCCACCTGCCCTCCCAACACATACGTAACTCCCGAGTCTGGCCCGAGCCTCAGCATATCCAGCAGTCGTCTTTGGATGGGCAGCTACTGGGGGCCAATCCGCCGCCGCCGCCGCCGCCGCCGCCGCCGCCGCGCCGCCGCCGCCGCCGCCGCCGCCTGCCGCCGCCGCCGCCGCCACCGCCGCCGCCGCTGCCGCCGCCGCCGCCACCGCCGCCACCGCCGCCGCCGCCCGCCCCCCGCTGCCAAACCGCCGCCGCAGCCGCTGCCGCCACCGCCGCCGCCGCCGCCGCCGCCGCCGCAGCCGCAGCCGCAGCCGCCGCCGCACCCGCCGCCGCCGCCGCCGCCGCCGCCGCAGCCGCCGCCACCGCCGCCGCAGCCGCCGCAGCCGCCGCCGCCAAGTGTACTCTGTATTGTTTTTTGACAGGGATGGTGGGGGGGGCCGCATCGGGTTGGCTGCGCGTGTTCCGAATTTGGAGGCAGAGTGTGTTTCGTATTGTTTTTTTACAAGGGATGGTGGGGGGGTTGTCATGGACCCTGGTTGGCCCCCAGTCGCCTGGGGGAGGGGGTGTTTATTAATAGGGAACAGTGATAAACCACTCCCCGAAGGGAAAACAGGCGGTGGAAGAGGAAACACACCAAACCACCTACGCCCTAAAGGGCTGGTGGGACTTGTCGATCGTCGATGCTCTCCGCCTGCCTCCTCGTCTTCACAAATCCGGTCAGAATCAGCCCCTGAGCCCCTCCACGGGTCCATCTTGGCCAGTTTTCGGGTTGCGTTCAGCCGTGGCGGCGAGAACCTGTAGAAACCCACGGGGGACTCCGAAACGAGGACGGCGGTTTTTCCCTCTCCTTTATGCTCCTCCCACGCCTGAAGGTCTGGGGTGTCAATGGGATCGGCATTTGGCGCGACGCGTGGGCGGAGCGGAACGACGTCAAGGTGGGAGCGCCCTTCTTCTCTTTGGCCTCCTTCTCCATTCATTCTCTTTCTGGGTACATCATCAGCACCACCCTATCCTCCCTCCCTCCTGATGCCCTTCCCCCTCCCGCCTCTCCCTCCTCCCCCTCCCTCCTGCACCCCCTCCTCCCTCCTCCCCCGCACTCCTCCTGCCCTTTCGTTTCCCTGGCCCTCCCTACTCACCCTTCTTCCATCCCTCTTCCTCGTGAGTGGTTCGTTTCACCGTCAGGCGCGTCGGAAGGGCGGGCTGGGCGTTTCGTTTGAGACGTGCTCACTGCTTGTGATCCTGGAGCTTGAAAGCTCGTTCGTCTGCACGGGCGCAGGGCGAAGGGCTTCCAAAACGTGTTGTGTTCGCTTTAGCGCCGTGGACATATGTCTTCAAAGCTCCCGACGGTCCGAAGAACTGAGGGTGGGTGGTCTTCGATCAAGTTATTTGATAGGGTCAAACCTGAGGGACGAACCAAAGGACGAATTAGCATTCCAGAGCAGGTGGTTCGGGGCCCCCGCTGCAACGAGATCCCCAAACAACTCTCGGGGGTTGCTGGGCCTTCCTGTCTTATCCCTGCCCGTCAGTGGCGATGCTGGAAAGGCCTGACCGCTGAGGCGGCGCGCCAGGTTCCCGATGAGCAACAGCGGCCGCCCAGCAACTCCGAGGGCCCAAAAGTTCAGGGCAGGCGCGCCATCGCCATGCGCGCCATCGCCAGGTGCGCGCAGCGCAACGACCTCGGCGCGGCTGACGAGCAGATCGCGACGACGGACGATGGAAAGCCCCCCTGGGTCACCGAGGGGCAAGTCTCCATCGCAGACCGCGGCCTGTTCGTCAGGCGGATGAACGCCCTCAACTACGAGCGGCTGCAGCGCTAGGCCAGGACTGCCAGGATCAGGGGTTCCGAATCGGTCGCTCGATGGCAGGGAGTAGCTGCGGAGAACGATCGTACAGCAACTCGGGATCAGAAGCGTCTGGCTGCTCCCTGGGCCCTTACAGCTGGTGGGGCGGTGCCTGCTGGAAGCCGTCCCGAAAGGCTCCATGGGGGCGCATATGTGGTTGGGGATCCGAAAGGAATGGCTGCTGCTCTACATTCCCATAGAACCGATTTCTTCAGCAAAGACTCCAGGCCTTGGAGGAGCGCTTGGATCGAGTCGATTTGAAACGCGTTCTTCGAGTTTGCCGGGCGCTCGGCGCTCGAGCCTGGCAATCTTAGTTATCGAGCCTGGAGTGCTCTGCCAGAGCAGATTGCCATCCTACATCAGCAACTCGTGCCACCTCTACGCTGGGCGCACGGTTCTCTTTGAGCCCGACGATGGCATTTTCGCGTTTCTCTCCTGCGGGTCCGAGCCAGGGGGCGCCCGCAGGTGCATTCGCCAAATGGGCAAGGTGCGACCGCTTTCGCCATGGAGCGCCGCCACTGAATTCACGGCCAGAGCGGTCAACGTCTGGGCTCGGCAAGTTGCCAAGGACGCAACGCACGATTCCCAACAGGGTTGCACCCCATTCCAAACTTAACAGCATCGTCAACCTCGGCGCGCCCGACTGATAGGCCAGTATCAATCCTCTCGCCTCCGACAAGCACACCGTTTTCGCCGCGTGCGGCATAGAGGTGGCCTCCCCGAGCTTTGGTGACCAACAGTTGCCCCAGCTTCTGAGTAAGTTCTGACCCTCCCTGGGGCTTCTTAATTGTTTACGCTTCGCGAATCCCCACCAGCCCATTCAGAAGCCCTGCCCATGAGGGCTGACGGGAAAAGGGACGAAGAGACACGTGTAGTGAAACAGAGCATGCAAGGAGAGAAGAGGAAGGAGGATATTGAGCCATCTTGGGGGCTATCTTGGAGCATCGGAGGCCTTCTTGGAGCCACGGGGCTGTATTGAGGGATGTTGGGGTCCTTTGGGAGCTCTTTTGGGGCATCTTGGGGCTCTTTGGGTGGTCTTAGGGTCCGCTTGGGGCTCTGTTGGGGCGCCTTAGGGCCCTCATGGGGCCCTCATGGGGGCCCTCCCTCTTGGGGCTCTCTTGGGGCCCTCTTTGGAGCTATGGAGCGCCTCCTTGGGCCACCTTGGGGACCATCGATCAAAGGAGGGGGGTCCTCGATGTCCGTCCTCCCTTCCGGGGCGATCGACATAGCATGTTGGGGCGCTCGTGGGGCCGTCTTGGGGGCGATATTGGGCGCTCTGGGGCCCTTCTTGGAGCTCTCTTAGGCAATCTTAGGGCCATCTTAAGGCCTCGAGCGCATCGGAAGCGAAAAGGCGAGGCGGCAAACATCAGTGAGTTTCTTTTGGCGTTTGAAGGATTTGGGCTTCTCGGGGAGGTCGTGAGGGGTCGCCAAAAGCACCTGGAACCATCTTGTGGCCCTCTTGAGGCCTCTTGGAGGCATGTTGTCAGCTATATTGAGCCATGTTGGGCTATCTTGAGCGATCCTGGAGGCCATCTTAGGCTGTCTGAGGCCGTCTTGGAGCCATCTCAGGCTATCTTGGACGCCCTGACCGCTCGCGAAACCCCCCGTCCAGGTCCAGGGGAGGGGGTAGGGCATCAAGCTACCCACCCGCCCGCAAGCCGTCTAGCTCAATCCCACCCACCCTCCCAACACTCAAGTAGCACCCGAGCCTGAGCATGTTCAGCGGTCGTCTTTGGATGGGCAGCTACTGGGAATCAAAGCCGACCCCGGGTGCGCGACGTTTAAGCGAGGTGCGCCACGTGTGCCAGGGGCGCCACGCTCGCCAGGCACCCCTGGGGCCCGAGCGTGCCAGGCACGCCTGGTGCGCCAGATGCGCCACGAGCTCCTAGTATGCCAGGTGTGCCACACACTCCAGCCGCGCCAGGTGTGCCATGGGGGAGAGGGTGCGTACTTATTAGGAACAGTGGTGAATTCCTACCCGAAGGGGGAGAAGGGTTTCCCGAAGAGGGAAGAAAGACATCGTTAGACCACATACGCCCAGAGGGCTGGTGGGATTTCGCGCACAATCTGTACTTCTTGCCCAGGGGATGTTGGGGCGGATCCCAAGCCAGGTTGTCTTTCTGATTAGCTTGTGCTCTGGGGTCCTCCGCTCTCGGGCTCACTGGGGGCCCTCGCGATGGATCCAGTGCTGCGCTTGCCCCATGGGCCGCCCTTCGACCCGTCGCGAGGCGCCGCGAGTGATCGCTGGGCGGGGGAGCCGAAGGTGCAAGGATGGTGATGCCCCGCGCTCGGGATCTGATCAGCGCAGGGCGTGCGTTTTCCACCATTGCCAAGCACGCCCTTCTCAAGTTGCCGGTTGCCAGATGTTTTGGGGCGGAGTGTGCAGAAGCGCTCGTACTTAGCATCAAAGCTGAACTCCGTCGGTGGATCCTAAAGCGGGTCGGGGCTTCAAGGGTTTTGGCCAAGCTATTTTTGCGGGGCCCCAAATGGGCCCCGCTGCTACCCCTGGAACCACGCGGGGCCCCACGGCTGAGGAATGGTTGGCCCGCGCAATCGCCTCACCCCCTTCCCGATTAGGGCCGCCTTAGTGTGCGTTCGCGTTGTTGCAATCCCGCTTCCATGTCTACGTTGCGCCGTATCTCGCTCAGCTGCCCCTTCCCCCTGCGATGGTTCAGAAGCTCGAACGTCAGGTCTTGCGCAACCTGCTGCGGCTGTCGCCCAACAGCTCCCGTTTGGCCCTGCCCATGATCCCGCCCATCGTCCTAGCCTCTGTTCCTCTGTTCAGATGCTTGCGTGGGCCAGCAGCTGGAGCGCCTCATCTCGCAACACGAATCAGTTCTGGCAGCCTGCCCTCGAATCTGCACACATTCGCTCAGGATTTCGCCACATTCTGTCGCCTCCTGAAGGAGGAATCGTCGGCGCAATGATGGTCGTGGCCCTTTTCCATCGCCCAATTTCTTGAGCGAGCAAGGTTGCCACCGCCGCGTTTGCCGAACCCTTGGCACTGGCTCGCGGCGCACGGAAGGGAGCATGCCGTGAGCGCGCAGGAGGAGGGAAATGACGCCTACCCACAGCGCGCGTTCTCGTGCACCCCGCGGCCGCTCACATTTCCAGATGTTCTTCCCATCGCGCTCCAGAGACGGTTCAATGCATGGCAGGCTCCGGTTCCTGGTAGGCTGATGGCGGCTGCGGGACGGTGGGCGGTGCGCAACCGATGTCTGTCGCAATGGGGACCGTCTTGGCAGTGGTGCGGTAGCAACCCCCCCGTAGAAACTGGGGGACTGCGCGCCACATGCATGTCGGTGTCATTCCCTCTGTCGGTGTCCGGGGCTGCGAAGCTCCAGGTGAGGTTGCATACGAATTAAGATGTCCACAGATGCGCCATGATTTGGCCATGCACGCACATGGCGCCGCAGTGATTTTCCTGAGTATCCGATCGCCTTGGTGGGACTTGGTTGGGTGGGCGACTACGGGGTGGCGGGATCGGGGCTAGCACGAGAAGATTGCTTGGATGCAATAGTTCAGGCCTTTCATCTGTACTCTGAGGCAAACGACTTCGTTCAGAGCAGCCCCACGAGCTACAAGCGCGTAACTTCGATTCAACTGGCCGCTCGCGTAGCCGGGGGCGCTAGATGACAGCAGAAACGCGCCTCGACAGGAACCGCCGTTCTGCGCAGAAACGCGTCTCGATAGGAGCTGCCTTTCTGGCAGGGTTCTCACTTCATTTTCCGTTTGCACTGTAGCGCGGGCTTTATCTCGGCCAAAACAAAAACAACACCACCCCACCTACGGCCTTCCACGTTGCGCTACGGCCCATCGGGGGCCGTAGCGTATACCATGCAAAAGCCCACGCCAGATCTCTTCGTATACGCTAAGCCATGTGGAGCCGTAGGCGGGGTGGTGTCGTTTGTTTTCTGGTCCACTCTCTTGAGCCCCTCTCTTTGCCCTGGCCGCCGCGCTGTTGGCAGCTTCCCTGTCGCGCGGCCGAGCTGGGTGCGGCGTCAGTCCTGACGCTTTCGGGGTGGCGGCCCCTCCCTCAGGCAACGCGCAGCCCTTTCGCACGAGTTAAGCGGCTGCGAGTCAGTGGTTTTGTT